GTAGAGGTGTTGAGAAACCGACAAGAATTTCCCGAAATTTCCATATCTTCTGCAACACATGTAGTTAATCATGTACATGTTTTCCCACACCAACACTGATAATGCCAGGCCTTTCGCCACTCACCCTGCAGCAGCCAACTTGCCTCTGTTAACAGCACATCGCCTTCTCTTCACATCGTCGCTAATAAGATGCTCGAGACGAGACTAATTATAGATCGGCAGAAATGTGTACAAGAAATTTTTCAGATCTTACCTTGCACAGTATAAGCTGTTCCTTCGCGCCACACTTGCACTTGCTATCCAGAAGCCTATCAACCAAAGTTGTCAGTGTCGAGAAGCCCGAGTGGATGCTGCTCACTTCTTGAGAGTCTACAAATAGAAATACTAGGCCAGCCTCACGGCGTTAGTTATACAGCTATACGCAACGAAGACGGATAACCAGCGCGATCCGGAATGTATCTGTGTACTACCTCCTACAGTAGACACCTCCGCTCTTAGCATCAAGTTCCCCTTGTTCAGCGCTCCATTCCAGCAGAATGCGCCAGAACTCCTAACAAGGCGAAGAGTTATTGGCGTTTCCTGGCTGATCGAGCCCGAGCGAAGCTATAATTGGCAGAAACCACGGATTGAAGATAAGACTGTGCTCGAAAAAAAACCTCCCTACAAAAGCTGGTGATGGTTATGCCTTGGCGTAGCATTGCTACGGTTAACCGCCGGTACCTGAGAGCATAGCCTGCGGGGACCTCGCATAATTGTTGTTACCCGCAGCCAACCGTTACGGCCTGTTGATCGTTGAGCCATGTATGCGGACAGTCAAACTAGAACAATCCTCCGTGAGGACCCGCGTCTTCACGTGAGCTTCAGATCAATGAAAATTCAGTCCCTGACCTGTATGCTCATCTATTATTAGTATAACTGACCTCATTATTCTGCCTATCCGGGGTTGCGTGAATTTAAATAGTAATCGATTACTATGGCGCACGCGAGAACATAAATCGGACATGCGAAGTAAGGCAAAGGTGTTACGGGAACCCCAGATACTAGTGCGGGACCGTAAGTCAAAGCCAGAGTCCAAGGTGAATCTTTCGACGGTTTCACTGGAGACGAAACCATTAATGAAGTACATATGGTATGATGATGATAAGTGCTGCTCGTCTCAACGGCCTGACGGACATAGGCCTTGCGTCAGAAACTGGTGTGATTGCCAATAGCTCAAATAAGCTATCACTCGCGAGGAACTGCACGTGGCTTACAACTGCGACGCATCATCTACGCAAAGTCCAGACTATTTTCAAGCTCTCGAGAGTGCAAATGCAGCTCCTGGTCCGCCCCGTGGTGAGTTGCCATTGTCTGACACTTGAGACTTCAGAATGCGATCTCTTACCTGAGAACACTGAGGATATTCCGTTGCCAAAGCGCTTTGACATCGACCACTCGGAGACGTGCTCAATCCAGTTCGCGTTTGGTGGCGCAGGGTGGACAGAAGATCCAGTGATCACAGTTGATGCTAACAATGCGTTCTTGAGTCAAGGTGTCCTGACGCT